GCTCCCCTCAGCAGTGTACTTCGGTCCTTCTGCCTGCTCTGCTCCCCGCTCTGGCTCTGGTGAATTCTCTCACCTTCCCGTGCTTCTGACTGTACCCAGTGCTTGTATAAATAAATAAATAAATCTTTAAAAAATTCAATGATATTCTTCAAAGAAATAGAGCAAATATTGATGAAATTCATATGGAGCCATCAAAAACCCCAAATAGCCAAAGCTCTCCTGAAAAAAAAAAAAAAAAAAAAAAAGAGGGAATGGAGGCATCACATTCCCAAATTTCAGGCTGTAATGCAAAGCCAAAAGAATCAAAACTGCATGGTATTGAAACAAGAACAGACACACGGACTAATGGAACCAAATAGAAAACCCAGAAATAAACCCACAGAGTTATGGTTAATTTATCTTTGACAAAGGAGCAAAGACTATGCACTGGAGCAAAGAAAGTTTGCTCAATAAATGGTGCTGGGTAAACTGGGTCGCTACATGCAAAATAATGACATTGACTACTACCTCACACCATGCACAAAAACCAACTCAAAATAGATTAAAGAACTAAACATAAGACCTGAAGCCATAAAATATATAAAAGCAAGTATACGTGAAATACTACATGACATGCACCTCAGCCACATCTTTAAAGACACCTCACCCAAAGCAGTGATAGTGAAGGTGAAGATAAACAGCTGGGGCTACATTAAATTGAAGGGCTTCTGCACCGCAAAGGAGAAAATAACCAAAACAAAGAGAAACCCCACCCACTGGGAGAAAATTTTTGCACACAATGCTAATGATAAGGGACTGATAACAAAAAATCTGTGAAGAGCTGATAAGACTCAACAAAAACAAAGTAAATAATCCAGTCAAGAAATGGGCAGAAGAGCCAAAAATAAATTTCTCCAAAGAGGAATTGTAGATGGCCAACAGGCATACGAAAGTATGTTTAGCATCACTTGTAATTAGGAAAATGCAAATAAAAACAACAGATACAACCTGACACTAGTGAGAATGGCACATACTAAAAAAACACTAGCTACAACAAATGTTTGCGAGGATGTGGAGGAAAAGGAACTCTCCTGCACTGCTGGTGGTAGTGCAGACTGGTCCAACCACTATGGAGAGCTGTGTGGAGATTCCTCAACCTGCTAAAGATGGCGCTTCCATATGATCCCTCAATTCCTCTCCTAGGTATTTACCCAAATGACACAGAAACATTAATTCAAAAGAGCACCTGCACCCCTGAGTTTATAACAGCACTATTATAATAGTTAATCTATGGAAACAGCCCAAATGCCCCTTAATAGATGACTGGATCAAGATGTGGTATACATATACAATGGAATATTACTCAGCAATCAAAAAAGATAAACTGCTGGCAATTTGCAACAACATGGATGGAGCTGAAAGGGATCATGCTCTGTGAAACAAGCCTGAAAGAAAAAGAAAAAAAATACTGGATGGTCTCACTAATAGCAGGAATTTAGAAAACCTAATACATAAGGGACCAGGAAAAAGACTGCCTATGAAAAAGTGAAAAGCAACAAGCAACTATAAACCAGAGACACACTACAGGGGTGGGAGGGTTGATGGAGGGGAGGATGGATTAGGGTCAAAATGGGGGAGGTGAGAATTATGTGGGGAATATAACCAAGATAAAAATGCATACATTGAGGCCTCCCCTGGTGGTGCAGGCAATTGAGCACTGTGCTGTGAAGCTGTCTGCAGCCTTTGCAGCGCTGGTTCAATCCCGGCTGGCCAGCGATGGTCACGCATGGCATGGCAGACCTCTCCTGTTGTGCCCGCTGCTCCCCTCAGCAGTGTATTTTGTCAGTTTGCCTGTTCTCTTCCCCCTCTGTCTCTGGTGAATCCCCTCACCCTCCTGCTCATCTGGCCTGTACCCCAGTTCTTGTGTGAAATAAATAAAGCTTTTTTTATAAAAGCATACATCGGGCTTCCTTGGTGGTGCAGCGGTTGCGAAGCTGCCCACAGCCTCTGCAGAGCTGGTTTGATCCCCAGCCACCGGCGAGGGTCTCACATGGTGTGCAGACCTCACCTGCTGCCCACTGCTCCCCTCAGCTTGTGTTTCCTCATTCTGCCTGTTCTGTTCCCCACTCTAGCTTTGGTGAATTCTCTCACCCTCCGATGCTTCTGACTGTACCCTGTGCTTGTATAAATAATAAATAAATCTTAAAATAAAAAAAAATGAAAGCTTTTAAAAAATCATACGTTGTGCAAAAATGAAAAAAAATATATAAAAATATATAAAATAAATAAACTGTAAATATATAAAATAAAATAAAAATTAGGATTCCCCCACAAGAAAGAATATATCCACATAGCTTTTCATAAGCTGAAATGGCAAAAAATAAAGAAGCATGTGTCAGTAATTTAAATGAGTATTTTAAGTATTCTTAGATCCCCAAAATGAACAATAAGTAACACATGTGAAACCTAATATCACACTGACATATACATGCTAAAGGAAGACAGGATATATTACATAGCTTGTATGCAGTCTGGGGAATGAGCCTGGAAACACCGCTCTTACTGCCCCAGATGGCTTCTAGAAAAGCTGTGAATGCAAAGGCTGAGTAATACTAATTTTGCTTTTTGCGTTTTGTGATAAAACTGAACATCCTCTTTGGACATATTTTGGCTAGTGCAAACAGGTACTAATGTCAGTTTTTTTTTTTTTTTGTGAAAGCACTGTGGTATAATGAGAGACTTCAAACAGCCAGTGGTATCTTTTTTTTTTTTTTCCAATTCAGTCTTTTTTTTTGTTTTTTAAGATTTATTTATGTATTTGTACAAGCATTGTGTACATTCAGAAGCACGGGAGGGTGAGAGAATTCACCAGAGACAGAGCGGGGAGCAGAGCAGACAGAAGGACTGAAGTACACTGCCGAGGGGAGCAGCAGGCAGCAGGAGGGGTCTGCGCGCCATGTGGGACCCACCTCCGGTAGCCTGGGAGCAGCTGGGGATCAAACCAGCGCTGAGAGGCTGTGGGCAGCTTCGCAACCCAGCACTTAACTGCTGCACCACCGGGGAGGCCCAGCCAATGGTTTCTTTATTGGATTTTATGTGCTCTTTCTCAGATGTATGATTTCTAATATTTTCCCTGAAAAGAGCAAAGTTTTTAAAAATGCATGCATGCATGCATGCAAGATCAGGACAGAGGTTAGTGGGGGGATCATTCACCAGAGAGTGAGGAGCAGAACAGGCAGATCCATTGAAATATGCTGAGGAGAGCAGTGGGCAAGACTGGAGAGGTGTGCTGCACCATGGGGTAGCTCCCTGGCTGGCCAGGTATCAAACTCAGGCTGCAGTGGCTGTCAGTAGCTTGATATCGCTGTCATTGAACCCTGCACCACCAGGGAGGCCTGAAATAAAAGAGGAAAGTTTTCTTTGCTCCTATGAAGAGCAATATTTATCAGTTTGTTCTTTCATGTATCAGACTATTGATGCTGTATGTAAGAAAATTTTACCTTAGCTAAAATCACCATAATTTTTGTCCTTAAAAAAAAAAAAAAACTTTTGAGGGTTTACATGCAACTCTTACTATTCATATTGTGTAACTTTTTTATAAGGTGTGGGTAAAGGTTATTTTTTTTTTTTTTGCACATGGGGACTTGGTTGTTCCTTATTTATGATAAAGATTGCTGTACTTTTTTATCTTTTAATAATAATTTATTTATTTATTTATACAAGCACTGGATGTTGTCAGAAGTGCGGGAGGGTGAGAGAATTCACCAGAGTCAGAGCAGGGAGCAGAACAAGCAGATTGACGAAGTACACTGCTGAGGGGAGCAGCGGGCAGCAGGAGAGCTCTGTTGCGCCATGTGGGACCCTCGCCGGCGGCTGGGGATGGAACCGGCACTGCAGAGGCTGTGGGCAGCTTCGCAGCCCAGCGGTCAACCATTGTGCCACCATGGGAGGCTCTGCTATACTTCTTACATTTTGTTCTTTTTTTCTCATCTTGCCAGAGATCAGTTGACTTTTTCTGTGTTTAGCATTTTTTTGGATTTAGCATTTTTCTGGATTTAGCATTCTAGCCTGGATCTGTGTGGCTTTCCTTTGACCAGTACCACATTGTTTTGGCTGCTGTTGTTTTCCAGTAAGTCTGGAAGCCAGGTAGTTATTGCACCTAACCCTTTGCAGCATGATGGAAGTTATTACTCTCTCCACTTTGTATGTAAGGAAACTGAGTACTTCAATGTTAGATGTCCCACATAGAGTCTCCCTTAAATAGTTAGCTACTCATCTTACAGGCTAAACTTACATCTTCTCATTTCTAACCTTGTACTGAGACTAACTGTGGCCTTTGGAATCTGGTTTCAGTTTCTTTCAACTCTGCTTTTATTAGTTGATGACTTTAACCCCTCTGTGCCTCAGTTTTCCCACCTGTAAAATGGGTCTGTAAAGTGATGTTACCTGCTTTTTGTAAAGCACGGTTGAAGACAAGTGACTAAAGTCAAATCATAAGACTTGACTGCTTACTTGATCACTGCTGACCAACATAAACGGCCATGTTACATAGTTCAGCCAAATAATGCTAAGTAGTGGGCACGCACCCCAGAAATGCTGCGTATTATCCTTATCATCACTATCACTACACCTGTAGTTCTTCACTGTTACTTTATGGCTGTGGTCCCTGAGGCCAGCCGTTCCTGTTCCATGTGTCCTTGAGTCAGGCAGCAAGCAACCACCAAGCACCCCCTGTGTGGCAAATTTATTACCAAACCTGTGGAGAGTGCTGGGGTGTAAGTGCATGCGTGGAGTACAATGGGAGCATCTTGGAGAAAAAGAGGAATTGTCAGGATTTCCCGGATACCACCTACCGGGAAGGCCTCACAGAACAATTGTGAGCTTGGGATAGGAAGAACATTCCATGTGCGGGTTACAGCTAGTGCACAGGCTTGGGAGGAGTGCCTGGTAGGATAGTGGGATATAGTCCAGGTGACCTAGAATGGGCTTATTGATCCCCCCACCCTTTTCTCCTTCCACAGTTGGCCCTAGTTTGCCCAACATCCTTGCAGAGCCTCTCCCACTGCTGCCTCCACCATGTCTTCAAGAACCATTATCATCGACCACGGATCTGGCTTTCTGAAGGCCGGCTTGTCTGGATGGAATGTGCCCCAGATGGTCTTTCCGAGCATTGTGAACTACCTACCCTGCAGGGAGAACCCTGGTCCCAGTTCTGCCCGGAGGCGTGTGAGTCTAGGCATTGATTTTTGCCATCCTGACACCTTTAGCTACCCCATACAGCGTGGCCGTGTCATCAACTGGGAAGGTGTGGAGCACATCTGGACAGTTGTTGTGAAGGAGTGCATGAGACGGGAGCATGAGGACTCCCCTGTAATAGTCACAGAATTCCCCTTGGGAGAGCCTGCAGACCGACAGAAGACCATGGAGGTAAGGGATCCCAGGGCTGGCCTCACTGTGGAGTGGGGAACAGCTGCACTGAGACTTTCTGTTCATATGTGTAAGGTCTTCAGTGGATGTGGCTATGTTCCAGTAAAACTGAAAATCATTCCGTTATCTGAATAATTTGTCCTGTAAATGTTTGCAAAGTGTCTGTGTACCTGAAACTGCTTGGCAGGAGAGACTTACACTGGTCTTGAGTAGAGACTCTACCATTCAAATGCTCTGTGGGAAGTGCTGTGGGAGGGACATGAGCTATCTATTCATGGATTTTGTAAGTGCTCACAAGTCACGGTATGCCCCTCAAGCAGCTTATGTTCAGACTTGACCAAAAGTAAGTAAAAAAAAAAATAACAGTTGCACATGTTGATGAAGGTGAAATGGACTGATAGCAAACCCTTTGATGACAGTGACTAGGGAGAAATTCTCTGAGCAGGTACTTTCAATGGGGAAGCTGGAGCCCAGTGAACTAGGGTGTGTGCAAAAGGGAAGCAAGGGGCCTCTCTGCTGGTGCAAGTGGTTGAGCACCGCACTGTGAGGCAATCTATGGCTTTTGCAGCGTGAGTTCAATCCCTAGCTGGTGAGAGAGAAACCCATATGGTGCAGCAGGCCTCTCCTCTCTCATGTGCTGCTCCCCTCAGGAGTGTATTTCTGTCAGTCTGCCTGTTCTGTTCCCTACTCTGTCTCTGGTGAGTCCTCTTACTCCTGCATCTCTGGCCAGTATTCCAGCTCCAGTGTGCATAAATAAATAATTTTTTTTTGACCCTCGCCAGCGGCCAGGGAACTAACCGGCACTGCAGAGGCTACAGGCAACCATGCAGCCCAGTGCTCAACCACTGTGCCACCAGGGGAGGCCCAAATAAATAAATCTTTAAAAAAGAAAGTGGGAGGGCCTCCCCTAAGTGGTGCAGGTGGTTGAGCGCTGCATTGTGAAGCTGTCCCTGGCCTGCCAGTGAGGGTCCCAGATGGCGCAGCAGACCACTCCTGTCATGCCCACTGCTCCCCTCAGCAATGTATTTCATCAGTCTGCCTGTTCTTTTCCCTGCTCTGTCTCTGGTAAATCCTCTCACCCTCCCACATATCTGGCCGGTACCATGGTTCTTACATTAAATAAATAAATTGATCTTTAAAAATGGAGAGGGAAGCAGGGACCCCAAAGGGCTGGTAGACTGAAGGAAGAACTTGGGTTTCATATCAATCAAGCATTATTTAAATGCATACCCCCATTTGTCTAGGAACATAGCCAAATCCACTCATTTGCATGTCATCTGCTTGCTTTCCCACCAAAAGAACAGATTTGAGTGGTTGCCACAGAGACTATATAGCATGTGAAAGCTATCCGAATATACCATTGTCAGTCTGCAAATAAAACCAAGGACACCTGGTTAGATTTGAATTTAATTTAAGCAGCACGTGATATTTTGTGCCCCAGATATTGCAAGGGGCATACTTACACAAAAACATTATTTCTTACCTAAAAATCAGTTCTAATTGGGCATTGTGTATTTTGATTTGCTAAATATGTTGCCCAGTACTTACACAGTCAGTCTTCTTGCTGAAATATTTTTTTAAAAAAAGATTTATTTATTTCTATATTTATACAAGCACAGGGTACAGTCAGAAGCGCGGGAGGGTGAGAGAATTCACCGGAGCCAGAGTGGGGAGCAGAGAAGGCAGAAGGACCGAAGTACAGTGCTGAGGGGAGCAGCGGGCGGCAGGAGGGGTCTACGCGCCATGTGGGACCCTCCTCTGGTGGCCAGCGAGCAGCTGGGGATCGAACCAGTGCTGCAGAGGCTGCGGGCAGCTTCATAACTCAGTGCTCAACCGTTGTGCCACCAGGGAGACCCTTTTTGCTGACTTCTAATAAAACTCCTTCCAATCCTTAAGAGCCCTACCCACAATTACTTCCACAGCATGAGCCTCAGGAGCCTTGGGTCAGCACCATGGGGTGGGGCAGCCTGCAAGCACCTTGTGGAGGCCTCTGTGTATTGACCACAGTTTTTTTTTTTTTTTTTAAGATTTATTTATTTACACAAGCACTGGGTACAGTCAGATGCATGGGAGGGTGAGAGAATTCACCAGCGACAGAGCAGAAGGACCGAAAAACACTGCTGAGGGGCGCAGGGGGCGCAGCAGGAGAGGTCTGCGCGCCATGTGGGACCCTCACTGGTGGCCGGGGATCGAACTGGCGCTGCAGAGGCTGCATGCAGCTTTGCAGCCCAGCAATCAACCGCTGCACCACCAGGGGAGGCCTGACCTCAGTTTTGAGAACTGAATGCTTAGCACAGTATTTGGGGAAACATACAGATTGGGGCCTTTGTTCAGGGTAAACACCCCAAGTGACTGCCGTCTCTCTTCTTGCAGATTATGTTTGAGTTACTGAATGTCCCCTCCATACTCCTGGCAGACCAGCTGGAGATGTCTCTCTATGCATCGGGCCTTCTAACAGGCGTGGTGGTTGATTCTGGACACGGCCTGACCCGCGTGCAGCCCTTCCATCTGGGCCGCCCCGTATGCTCCAGCAGGAAGACGCTGGAGTTCGGGGCCCAGGACCTCTCTGCCTATCTCTTCAAGAGCGTCTTTAAGGAGGCATGCAATGAGCATGACTTGTTTCAGTTGGATACAGTTGCCGCCATCCAGACGAGTAAGTGTTATGTTCCACAAAGTTTTGAGGAGGCTCTGGAGTTCCATCAGAACTTGCCGAGTGGTTTGGATGAGAGCAACACCTACCAGCTCCCAGACGGCACCACTGTGGAGCTGACTGCTATGCAGCGACTGGCTCCAGAGATGTTCTTCAGCCCCCAGAGGTTCGGCCTGCCAGGTCTGGGCCTTCCGCAGGTGGTGCGTGACTCCATTGAGACCTGTGACGCCTCCATGCAGCCGACACTCGTCTCCCACTTGATGGCCTGTGGGGGCAACACTCTCTGCATTGGCTTCATAAAGCGCCTATATGAAGAGTTGATCACTAATCACTTCTCCTCCACCAAGGCAACCATGTGGGTAGGTTCCAACAGAAACTTCAGCGTCTGGCTAGGGGCATCTGTTGTGGCTCATCTGTCCACTTATAGGTCTCAGTGGATGACCAAAGGGGAGTATGACGAGCAGCTGCGTGTGTGATGATCTGCTGCTGACTCCCATCACAGAGACATGCGCAGGTTGATTGCAGTAAGGGGGTCTGGGCAGAGGTGGCATTAGCTGGCTTTGAAATTCTGAGGTCAGGGTTTTATCTTGTTTCACAAGCAGTATCCAAGCGTAGGGTGTCACCTCTGGAAACACTCGGTGGTCTCTTACTGGATGGGAGTGTTCATCTGCCACATCTGTGTCTGAAGCCACTTGTTTTTCATTGACTTCTGTTTGAGTGATCTCAGCCTTCTGGGTGGAGTAGGTTTTAGCTGGGGCAAGAGGGATTAGGGCCATCTGGTTGCAATTCTAATTAGTTTTGACTAGGGAGTGCTGGGGGTGGGGATGGGGAGGGTAGAGATGTCTAGTCCTTTCTTGCCAGGGAGCAACTGCAGCCAGTGGGCGGCAGTGCTGGTCCACCCTGGGCCAATGTTTTTTCTTATATTTGCAAATAAACGTCTTGTTTGGAACCAGTGCTGGCTTCTCTTATGGATGTGGGCAGAGTGGGCAGTACCTTGGGGAGAGTACTTGGTTACCACTGAGCAGAGTGAATAAGGTCCTGGAACCCTTTCCACCACCTCCTCTGAGCTCACCTAACAAGTCCCAGTATTCACTTGTATTAATTATATGTTTATTCGATAATACTGTAGAACTTACTGCTTGAGAACCAGTGCTATTCTTTGAAGACCTTGGAGCTGTTGAGGCAATAAAGATACATGAACAAAAATTTCAGTATCAAGGAGTTTACAGTCTACTCTGGGGACACAGGTCATAGATAAGGAAATACATTTCAGAAGATGAATGAAACAGATCAAATATAACAAAGTCTTGTGATCTGGGAAGAGGAGGGGTGACTCCTTTAGATGGGGTGGTTTGGACTGTTGGGTTGGTAACTGTCTACCTTCCTTGGCACCTGTGAGGTTATATATTCTAGTCCTTGTGGGATCATGCTATAGGTCTGGCCAGTTCAGAGTGCTCTTGACCCTTAAAATAGCCCCATCAGCCTGCAGGATGCAAAGAGTCCATTGGGGAAGGGGCAGCCATGCTGCACATGGAAGGAACCTGAATGGCCCAGCCCCAGAACCTACCCACCTACACTGTACAGGGACATGGTCAGCCTCTGGGATTTGGGGTTGTTGGTTACAGTAGCTGCTTTGCTTATTCTGACAACTATACAAAAAGGAGCCATATGTTGCTATTCACTTAATGGGTATTTTTTTTCTGGGAAGTGGAGGAAGTGGAGTTCAAATTCAATGAACCCCTGTGTTCTGTGACTGCTTCTGGTAGGAACTTTTGGGTCCCTAATTCTGACATTTCAACTGCAGTCCCACATACTGTGTCCCTGATGTTTAAGGGACAGTGGGAGGCCAGGGTCCAGCACACCTTGTCTTTGGTACATGAACTGTATTATCTGACTCACAGCTTTATTTGCAAATTTGAGACAAGAGCGGTCCCCGGGGGAACAAGTGAGGGCCTGGAATATGATCCTTTAGTGGAACAGCTCATTGTTGTACAGATTGAGGTATGATGAAGTCAGAGCTGAGTTGCCTGGTAGTTCTGTCATTAAATAACCTAGCTTGGGCAAGTCACTTCACCATTCTGAATCTATCAGTAATAAACCCGAATGTGACACTTCTTCCTCTCAGAAGTGTGGGGTTGAGGATGGCCTAAGACAAGAGGTGAGTAGCTACTTTGAGAGCTACAGGTTCTATTGAAGTATGCAGTGATACTTTAACCTTAGTTAATCCATACTGCTCTCCTGTTAATCAGGAGCATTACTAACGGTAGCACCCTGTATGTTTGGCCAGGAATTGTGGTGAGTGCTTTACAAATAGAGTCCTACTTAATCCTCATGTGCATGCTGTGAAATGATTAATATGTATCCCCATTTACAAAGCTGAAGCCTAGTGACATTAATTACCTGCTGAAGTTAGCACTTAAGCTCAGTTAATAATGGCTTCTTACAATTAGGAATGGATGAGCATTTTTACAAAAGGAGACTTAGAGTCATGGGAGCATTGGGATTTGTTTCAGGTAATAAGTAGGCAGCCATGTAGTGGTGCTACATCTACACCAGCAAGTACTCTATTTTTTTTTTTTTTTACTGGGTTGCCTCATGGTAGCAAAATAGCTGCAGAAGCTCCAGGCATAACACCCATACTCCCTGCAGAAAGGGAAAGATGAACAGAGTGTGACAGCTGAATCTCTCTCTTACGGCAGGAAAGTCTCACTTAGCAGACTCCTGCTTATGTCTCATTTCTTAGAGGTAGCTGAAAGAAACAGGAGGCACACAGGCATTGGATGAGCTGTTTCACCCCTCCTGATTTTTGGCAGAGTTGGCATTTGGATCTTCCCACACTAAAGCTCAGTGTTATACCCAGTGTTATACCCAGTGTTACACCCATAGATTGTCCACCCACCCGGTTATCTGGGTCCTGTTGGTCCCTTTGCCCTGAGAGATGCAGACATGTGATTTTCCAGACTTGAGTGAAAACTGCTTTGGGGTGGCAGTCATGGTGTTGACATGCTGAGTGGCAGTCTTCGTTCTCGAAACAGGTTTATTTGTGTACACCTGAGCCTTAAAAGGCACAAGTGGGGCCTCCACTGGTGGCGCAGCGGTTGAGTGCTGCACTGTGAAGCTTTCCGCAGCGTCTGCAGTGCCAGTTCAATCCTGGCCACCGGGCAAGGGGCCCACATGGCACAGCAGACCTCTCCTGACTCGCCCCCTGCTCCCCTCAGCAGTGTATTTCGTCAGTCTGCCTGTTCGGTTCTCCGCTCTGTCTGTGGTGAGACCTCTCACCCTCCCGCGCATCTGGTCTGTACCCCGGTTCTTGTATAAGTAAATAAATAAATCTTCAAAAAAGGCACAAGTGGGAAAACTAAGAAATGATTATGAAAGAGAAGAGGGAGGAGGATGAAAGATGAGCAAGGGTTGATTTCTATCCCTTATTTAGCCCTGGACAGCTGTCATCAGAACTCTTTTTCTCATTTTATTCCAAATGTAACATTTAACCTTTCTGTGCATACAAGAAAGCATCAAATCTGGCTGCCTGGCATGTAATTAGGATCTTTGCTTTCCTCCCCCCATCCTGAAAGCTTTTAAAACTCACTCGCTGGGTACCATCTCTCTCCTCTGACTCCAATTAAATTAAACATAGCTCCATGGGGTTGTGCAGGGCCATCAATCTAAGGCAGAACTGTTGGCGTGCCAGGCCTGACGGGGTGGTGAGTGGGGCCCAGAAGATGCCTGCCAGCTCCAGCATGGGCTGGCAGCTGCTCTGAGTTGGGGGGAGGCTGCCTGCCAGGGGCAGCCAGGTGTTGGGGGTGGGAGGCAGGGTCATGGCGGCTGAGGAGAGGGGGCTGTGTGGTGCCGGCAGATTGGACAAAGGGAAGGTCCCCAGGCAGGCCATGGCCAGCTGGGAGCACAGTCCTGCCTGTGACTCTTGAAAAGCCTTGGGCTTGGAGCCCTTGCATTTTGATTTGGGTGGGGTTTGGATGCCCAAGTTCCCTGACATAACGCTGGGGAAGCTTTAGGTTCTGCGGGCCCAGAGAACAAAGTCAATGTTAACACTGATTACCCTCCTGCCTCTAGAAGAGGCTTCCATTGTCTCTCCCACTTACAGGTCCTCTTTCTTCAGAGACACGCATGGTGAGGTGTACAATCTGAGTTAGCATGCTGGAAATGCTGCTTATTTATGCTGTTAGCTTGGGGGGATATACTTGATAACCTCCTGTGCCCCAGGGGGCATTTCAGGGCAATTCCTCTCATTGACGGAGTTCTTCAGAAGTCACAGGGATGGAGAGTGGCTCCAGGGAGGCACATGCAGTCAGACGAGTCTTCTGTAGGAAGCGATGAGTGAGATGACTCTCACCAGTGAAGCACAGCTTCTTAGCACATGCTGTTCTTTTTGTCTGGAATGCTTGTCCCTGCTAAAGCCCCAGAACTTCCTCTGCCAAGTTGGCGTCTGAATTTAATAGATGCCACCTCTGTTACTAGAATTGCTGAACAATAAGGGGAGGAGGGAATGGGCATAGATGACGGAAGAACTTGGTAGGTTCAACTTGCGAAGGATATTGAATGTTATCTGAGGGGGTGAAGACTTCATCCTGAGGATGGTGGGGAGACCGGTAGAATTACAGGCAGAGTGACACCATCTGAAGGTTGAAGCTCTAGGTATAACTTGGACAGTGACCCCATGAGTCAGATAAGAGCAATCACATGAATGATGGAAACAAACCTTCCTCTAGATTCTGCTCTCCTTGTGTGTTTCTGGAACCTTGCCTTAGACTGGGAATTGCTGTATACTTCAGGAACCAGCAGATCTTCCTTCCTGTTGTCTGACCAGTATTTGGTAGTTGTCACTTCTGGTGCATATAAGCCCGTGGTTTGTAGGAGAAGCAGCCAGAATGGGGGACTTGGGAAGAGTCCCCTTGCAGGTGATAGTGTGCGATGAATTCATGCTGAAGACTGCCTTGGCCCAGCTGGGGCAGCTTTGTGTTTCCTTTCAGCAGTGCAAACCATGGACAGGTCCCAGTCTCCACTACTCCCCACCCACCCCAATTCATGATCTCTTGTTCTAAGCCAGTTTCCTCTTAGACAGAAAGAACCTTGGCTAAGAGGAAAGAATTTTGGTTTTGGAGTCAGATGGACTCATGCTTGAATCTCTGTTCTCCACTTGGATGCTGTGTCCGCTTGGGCCAAGAATTTCCCCTCTCGGTTCTGTTGCCTCATCTTTGTAAATTGATAGTAACACCCCCTCCTCCTGCTGATGGGGGCTTAAAGCAACTCAGGCCTCAGTGAATATTTATCAGGCATCTGCCCTGCATTGAGCCCTTTTCAACATCCTATTAATTGAAGAATATTCACAAAGTGCTTAAATAAACACAGTGCCTGACACATAGTATGAGCCCAATAAGAGTCCCTAATGACCCTTATTAGAGAAAATAAGGGTTAATCCGTAAGTCATTAATCTGTCAATTAATAATTAGTCACTTAAGTAAATTACTAAATTTAAAGACTCCAGTGGGCATCATCCACATGTGGATATCCCCAAAGATGGTTCTCAGAGCTCACCAACAAAGATCCCCTTCTTCTTGTCCTTTAATGAGTTTTTCCCCCACGATGCTGCTGCCCCAATTGTTCTTGGGGATCTTTGCAGTTTAGACCCAGCATGTTAGAGGAGGGTCCAGTTCTGCTTTCAGTGTGACAGAATTCACTAGACTTGCCCAAATTCAGGCCTTTTTCCTGACCCCAGTTCTGCATGTCTCCCTTGTTGGAGAGCTCAGAATGGATGTGGCACCTCCCAAGCCCAGGAAGGTGACA